TGTGTGTCAGTGTGTGTGTGTGTGTCTGTGTCTGTGTGTCAGTGTGTGTGTCTGTGTCTGTGTCTGTGTCTGTGTGTGTGTGTCTGTGTCTGTGTCTGTGTGTGTGTGTGTGTCTGTGTCTGTGTGTGTCTGTCTGTGTCTGTGTCTGTGTCTGTGTCTGTGTCTGTGTCTGTGTCTGTGTCTGTGTCTGTGTGTGTGTGTGCGTGTGCGTGTGGGTGTGGGTGTGGGTGTGCGTGCAAGTCGCTGTCAATATCAGTGTCTCTGCGTGTGCGTGTGAGGGGTGGTTGTGTCTGTGTGTCTGCGGGTGTCTGGGTATGATGTTGGGGGTGGCCATGCGAAGGATTGCGTTAAAGTAACAAGTCCAACCGTTGCAGGCCCAAGCAACGACCACGACGATGCAGGCACACGCAGCATGGTTTCCTTGTCAACTTGAACCGGAATCCGGAAGGGCTTTGTTCGGGGTTGCATCGCCTATTAAATGGGCCTATTACACTCGATAGTAACCGATAGTATACTGTTTCTAGTTTCAAATTTTTGAGTTATTTCAGCGTAGCAGTTCTGTTTATCCGGCCTGAGTAGAACTCGAGTTTGGGTTCCCATCTTTTTCTTCCAGGCGGGAATGCTTTTGCAGATTGCGCAGCTGACGTGTTTAGTGAAAGGAAAAGCTCCTATGAGCTTTGCTGTGTTGGATCCAGTGTCGCTCCCGGACGGTAATTAGTGCTCCCTCATCACTGTCTGACCACCATCCCTCCCTCTCTCTCCTCGCTCCTTTTTTTTTTCTCTCTCTCTCTCTCTCTCTCTCTCTCTGTCTCTCTCTCTCTCTGTCTTTCTTTCGCTCTCTCTCTCTCGTCACTTGTTCGTGAGTTCGCTCTGTTGTAGGAGGGCTTGCCTCAACGGAACAGATGACATCGAAGCCCTCCAGGCCCAAGATACCAGCACGACGATGGAGGCATGGGCAGCGTGATTGAGCTTGAAATTGAAAGGGAGGGCTTAGGGCTGATGGTTTAAGATTCTGTTGGGGTTTCTGCCTGTTCTTCAGAATTCTGGACATCTGCGAAATTGCTGATACAACGTTTTTTCCACAAGCTACCCTTCGGACTCGGGCGTTGATTGAGAAATGGGCACGTTTGTGAAGATTCGTCAGCGGAAGGTGGGTTGTCTGACGTCATTGCTTCGTCCGGCAGACAGTGCGTAAGCTCGAGATTGAACGAAAAGCTGAGAAAGCTGTAGCAAGCCTTAAGAAGCTGGAAGCTACAACAAGGGTTTCAGCATTTAGGCGGTAGGGGTAAAGGAAGATGCTGATGCATGTGGTCACGCTCTAACTTCAAATCCTAAAAATCTCAGGACTTGATGATGCCTATATGTGTATGCGCCCACATAATATGCAGCATGTTGTGAAGTGTGTTTTGTTTGTAAAGAACATACACGTACATATGGATATGTACATACGTATAGCTGTGAATAACTATAGAGTGTGTGTGTATAAAAAACATGAATATATATATATATATATATATATATATTTATTTATTTATATTTATTATTTATTTATTTATTTATATTTATATATTTATATGTTTATATATTTATATTTATATATATATATATATACACATCGTCAAAGAGGCTCCGCCGGGTGATCAGCCCATTACCGGCTGCTCCTTTGGAATCGATGCGGATGCGCCGGCGCTTGTCATCTCGGCGGTGGGCCAAATCTCGGTGACGCAGTCGCCGCTCGCACAAATCAAACTTTCTCTTCAGCTAGCGACCCTTTCTGGAACTTGCGGAACCCTAAATTCCAATCATTCCTCATTAGGTCAAATTAGGCCCACAGCGAAGCACACCGGACACTGCCCGAAGAGTGATTCGGCTTCCGGGCCACTTCATGCCAGAGGTTTATGGTTTTCTTTAGGAAACCTCTCAGACGATGCGCTGCTTGTATGTGTGCATATATAGTATAGAGAAGATAGAAAGCAGTGCCGCTCTTAAACCCCTAAGCCCAAAATCGCTAGGAGTCATGCGTTCCGGCCCGAGAAATTCAAGCCCAAACTGAAAGTGATTGTTGTCTCAGCTGCCGAGATTATTTTTCATCCTTGTGCAGCTGACCGCGCTGACGAATATCACGAACCTGAGCACTTTCTCCCTTGCCGTGTCCGGAAACAACTCAACTGGAACCGGTCGCATCATCCGAACAGTGCCCCTGCCTTCCCAGAGCCTTGAGGCAGGCCAACCTTTCTTTCCTGTTGACGACGACGGCACGCAGTCGATCGCCTTCTTCAGCTTCTGGGGTTTTCAGGCCGATGTCGAGCTCCCGGACATCCAATACAACCCTATCGGGGAAGTGGAAGTAATCGACGCCTGGTTCGATCTGCTCGAGGTGCGAAATTCAGACGGCGTGACGATTGATGTGTGGAAAGGATCAGGGGAATCCCGACGTGAATGCAAGTGACCCAGATCAGTATGCTATCCGCAGGAACGTATCCGCAGGACCTTTCAGATC